TTTTGGTATGTCTGCTTTTAGATTTGAAAATTATAGATCTATACAAGCAATATCTAGTGATTTTGTATTTCTGTTTTATAACCAGAAAATGTGGAAAGTGTTATTTGAAAGCAGTATTAGTGGAATAATTAACATATAGTGCATGCATTTTATTTAGCAAAAAGTAATTTACACATTCTTTGCCACAGTATTATCTACTGTGTATATATAATGTTTTGTTACAAAACATGGTTGCTCTTTTAACAGTCAGTAGCAATAAGTTTGTACCTATGTCAGCCATTAAATATCTATTGATGTTTCCATTGATATTATAAGTCTTTTTTATAGAATCAGCTATACAAGGAATTTTAGATGTTATTAGGATGCATCCAGGTAGAGTTAGGAAATGGTGATAAAAATTATTATAAGATGCTTTTACTTTGCTGTTAAATTAATTGGGCCAAAAATTTTTTCGTAGGTCTTTACTGACATTGAGAAGAAAGTAAGTCCAACATATGTTGAAAATGCACGAGCACAGCTGATGAAGGACCTACCCTATCACCTAAAAAAAGATGTTGATAATGAGCTGCGTAAGCATAATTGTCATTACCTCCCAACACTCAGAGCATTACAGGTATGTACATTTGCAAATAGGTATGAATTTATCCTACTTGCTATGTGGTCTTATTTATATATAGGTGTCAGACTGGAAAGTAGGAAACTCCACTTTGTTCAATATATATATATATTTTTTTCTATTATATTAGGATAAGGATGGATTCCTGTTTCTATTTTGTGATAAGAAATAATTAGTAAAAATTCAATATTTTTTTGCCAAAGGCATTGTATTTTATTTTGAATATGAATGTAATTTGGTAGGTAATAGCAAATTACATTTGTTTTATTTATGATGTGTTTGTGATAGATGATATGTGAGTTTTTAATTTTTATTTTCTGATTATGACCTTTGATAATATTGTATATACTTTCACAACAGAACAACAAAAAGTTGAATAGACGCAAAACAAAGAGGACAAGTCCATTAAAGCAGAGAGATTTAGACGACGTGTTTATAAAGGAGTTATGCTATGTAGGGATGGAAGTGCAAATCAAAGAACATCTTGTGAAGAAAGAGGAAAACAAAAGAAGAGCATTTTTATGGGTAAGTATTGTTATGATTCCAGATATGTATGAGATGTATGTCTGTGGGTGCAGTAGTATTCATTATTTCATTTTAGGCTTTGAGAACCTTACTGTGTTTTTCACTGAAAACTACCTAGTCAAAAAAACAGTGACAAGTGACATCTGCAATTTCTGTTGTGCATGCTATATAGTCATGAAATTTTATGCCCAAGCATAGTTAATTCTTGAATTATAGTCATCCAATGTCACTGTAGATGCTGTTTTTTCCATGATGTCAAGAATCAGCTTTCCAAAATAAAAAACAAGGGGGTAAAAAACATCATCCATGCACTGTCGAATATTTATCATGTGTGCAATATTAATTTCAGTAGCGCAGTTATTATTCTCACTAACCATTTTGTTATTCAAGCAGTATATATACCTATGTGAGCTTAGTAAATTTAATCAAAGGGACTAGATATGTGTTTTTGTAATTGTCCTTTCCGTGAGGGTTCAAGTTCAAGTGTGGAACACAGTATTCCAACTCCTTCACTATTTTAAACATAATATATTAAGATTTTCCCCTGCAATAAAGAATACATAAGACATGTTTAAAAAGTGCTATATGATTGTTTTTTCATTCTTTCCAAGTTTGGCAACTTGGGAAACCCCAAATTAGTGCACTAATGGTATTGAGCAATATAAGTTGCAGTGTTCAGTAGCAGATCCCCCTCCCCCCAAAAAAAATCATAATAGAAAAAAAAATCATACATTTTTTTTGCTGAACACTAACTTGACAGTGCTCTAAGCTCATTATTAATATCAACCAATGCTTCTAAAATGTTATAAATCTCATAATCTAATATGATTTTGCATAAACTGTGGTTTCTGTATAACAATTCCAGTTATTTTTATTTCGTGTTTGTTTGCTTTTTAAACAGGCTAAGAAGAATGGTCAACTGAAAGAATGTCCTTGTTGCTATGATGATGAGGTCCTAGAAGAAGACATGGATACTTGTAGTGCTGATGACACACACAAAGTCTGCAACACATGCATTAGAAGGTAAATGTTTTCCTCTGTAACTCGGGATGATGTGATTCCAATTATTGAATTTTTTTTTTTTTTTTTTTTTTCTAGTTAGTCCCTAAAGTCCAAGATTAATTGAACTTTGAATTTTTCCTTTTTTTAAGTCCACAGTGAGCTTAGCCTCTCAGAATATGATAGGCTATATTCCTGCATATTTTCCCCTAGTCAGTGGGAGGTAGAGATTGTGAGGAAGTTATTTGGATGCTGTTTGACAAGCCTGTCTCAGTTATACCCGCAAAACTCACTCCCATTCCCTAATGCCATTGTACCCTTCTGTCTTCCTCCTCTCCTCTCTCTTCTCTTCTCTTCTCT